GGGCACGCTCTTTTTACATACGTGTCCTTATACATCGGTCAGTCAACAACCCAATAACCGACAGTCGCTCGAAATGTATGTATACCCGTGCATTGCCCACGAATCCGTATGGAGCTGCAGCTCGAAAAAAAAAAGCGCAAGGGATCACGGACCGCCGAGGCGAAATTTGATACAGCACAGTTGTACTTCATCGTCCACCTCTCCCCCTGCTCTTTTCTTTCTCAGCATCTCCTTCGCGAACCGTCCCTTCGTTTTCCTTCTCTCCTCCTTTTTGAGCGCGCATCACGTTCTCCGAGAGTGTCCGTGCAATCATTAACCCTTTCCCCCCTGTTGGTGCGCCGCTGCACACTACAACTGGCGACCTCGAAACCGAGGGCTTCACGTTATTACTACTATATTATAATGTGCACGAGTCAGGGGCACACGAGGATACTATGGACGCCAAGTGCAGAGAAGAGGGAACTTTGGAAACACGCGCCCGCGAAATGGTGGTGTGTGTTGTGTTGTAGATTATATGTCCACATCGGATTGACGCGTGAATATACGATACTTTTGAGAAAGAGAGAGATTGTTTTTTCATTCGGTCGGACAAAAAAAAAAGGGTGTAGTCGCGCGTTGCGAGAGATATATCTTGTTACAGCGCCGTAATTAGCGCGCGTGCACACGATGGATTCGGCAGAGGGAAGCTTTTCAATGCGACCGTCTCAATTTACACTTTCGAGTATAATAATATCGTGTACATATAAGTATGATGGCTTGCGTCGGGAGTTTTGTGCAATTTGGATACCATTACGAGTCGCGCGCGGGTAACTTTCATTCGTCTTCTTACGAAACACACGCCGTGCCAACAAAATCTCTCTCTCTCTCTCTCTGTTTGTTTTCACGAGTGCATTTCCTCAATCCGCGGTCGCTATAATGTATACCCTTGTATCGATTGTACACCGGGTATATAATACCTATAGTATCCAAGATTCACCTGCCGATTAAAAGCACCGATCTAGAAAAAAAAAGGGTAATAGACTGCACGTAAGCCTTTAAACGCGCGTGCCTCGTAAGCTCTTTCACGCTCGCTCGCGTGTGAGAGGGAGACAGCCGCGCCCCGTTGCCTCCGATGCTCTCGTGCAGTGCGCAATCTCTTTACCGCGGCTTATGGCGAAGATTAGCGCGCTAAAAATCGCCCTCTGTTATACATACTTGCGTTGAGTGATATTACTTTGCTTTGCTACCAAAAAAAAAAAAGGGGGGTGTTTTTTCACGATTCAACGAAATTCAGCCGTGACAATCGGCGTTGTGCACCCCTTCGGGGAACACCCGGAAAGCAAGTGCGGGGCGCGCCCATCTGCGACGTGTTTGTATAGTGCAGTGCGCAAACGGACGCAGAGAAGTAAAAAAAAAAAAAAAAATACAGCATCCCCATGAGCAACGCATCGAATCTACATCGCAGAGGGAGGGGCAATGATGAGTATATATATTATACGGGGAGACGCCGCGCGAACAAGTGAAACAGAAAAAAAAAAAAAAAGATAGGTACGAACGATTGGGCGTATGGGTTTTGTTACACCATTACCCTAGAGACGACTCCGGAGACGTAGAGCGTAGATGCACGGTGATATTGGAAAAGACACGTTATACTTTACCCCCGCATATATATATATATAAAGCAGGGGCGAGGGGGATAAAAGCACGATGAAAATGCAAAGTCTCGCGTGCATGCAACCCAGGGGGGGGGGTGGTTGTGCGACACCCTCGCCTTACTCCCCCTGTATACGCGGAATGACTTTGTCCGCGCGCCATCATGCCCCCCTTCTTCTTCTTCTTCATCTTCTACGAGCGAAATGCCATTAAACCAGGGATTATCGGGCAGCTATCGCTATGATTGCTTCTTTCTCTCTCTCGTATTGCTGCTGCTGTTACGTTCGTAACAATAATATATTTCACTGCAGTACGCCAGTATGGTAGTCCATCTCGCTTTTATTTTTTCATTCCGCCGCACTCGTGGGCCATCTTGCACTTGCGGACTTGAGCTTTTGTATGTTACACCGTACATATATATATATATATATATATACCCTCGAGGGGCTTACGTACGCCCAACTGAGTCCGACGCATCATCCTTCTTCTTTCCTATGGCTTTTTTCCTCGCTCGATTTATCATTACGTGCACGTGCACCCCCACTATATACGTATATATATATACGCAACTGACTGACTGTCGCATAGGTATACATACGCCGCGTGCAGTGTAGCCGAGTTTCTTATACATACATCTACGTCTATACATGTTTGGAGCTGCTGCTCTATAATTGGAATATTTATAAAAGGGAGCAGATAGTATGATGCCATATGACCGCTCTTACCCTTATACAGTGTACCTATGTACATATATACGTACAACGTCGTGTCGTATATAAGTATTATTTACCCGCCCCTAATATATATATATATATATTATATATATTTTAGTGGCGGTAGAATATGGGTATTAGATCGCGGTAAGCTTTTTTGCTGATGCACTTGTGTCGGTGTTGAATCGATTTTTCGACATTAGGCACACCGCAGTCGGCAGTGTATACAATTTTTACGATTAACACCGAAGCTTTTACGTCACACCCCCCCCCCCCGCACGAGTCGAACCGAATTACGCGCACGTGGCTGATTGTACGAAACGATTTGGGGAAAAAAGAGCCAAAATTGGCGATCAATTATCATCGTTAAGTAATTAATTAATTAATACGATACAAGCCCTCGACCACATTGTTTTTTAATCGATGCCTACAGCGATATAACATTATATTTATGATATACAAGAATAATTATAATAACAACAGCCACCAGCAGCAGGAGTTTAAAATTACTCGAGCGCGATGATGAACAAGGGCCCCAATCATCTATTATTTATCGGTGGTCAACTCATACACTGCAGTTCTGCTTATTTATTTCAGTGTACACGCGTGTGCACGTGCGAGCAAAGACTCGTCGTTGTGCGCGTGGCTTTAATTATAATGTATATTACACACACGCGCGCGCTAACGTTTGTGCGTTGCAGTATGAAAATAATATTATTAATCGACGATTATTACGGTATGACGCAACGATACGATGATGACAAAACTACGGTCCCCTCCGCCACTTTGCTCCTACAGTTACGCAATGTCAATGCTCGGATGTTTTTACAATTTTTTTCATAATTGCGTAAGTGAAAAAAAAAAAAAAAACAAAAAAAAACCCAATACAACCGAAAAAACCAAAGAATTAGCGTAATAAAACCAGAAACACGTAAAAAAAAACATGCACCCCCTAGTCTGCATCAATCACCTAGATCACCCGCGAAAAATACCTTTCCCTCGGCCCCCCTGCATGCATTCACGCTGAAACCACGCGTATTAATTAAAGAGAAAAAACGCACCCACCCCCCCGATATAGTACATACAGCCCCACCCTCTCTCTCTTCTCGTGCTGCTATACACCCCGCGCTCGTCAAGTCCATCAGAGCGCACGCAAAAATTCAAATAATCGCGAGCGCATTAAGTACTCCGCGTGCACGTGTATGTATACGCGACGACGGTGCTGCAGGCACGGGTATTAATATTATCGATCGTATCTTCGCCCGCACATACGTACATATATACATTTTCGTATATGTATGTATAGATGCAGGAGCAGTAGATTTATACACATCAGCCGGCAAAACGAGCCATATGTATACGCAACCGTATCTGTATAAGGGTACATGTATAGGTGTTGTATCCCAAAAACGTAGACGCATCATAGCATATACACACATGTATATACATATATATATATATATATTAAGCACACACGCGTGCATATATGGCGTGTTTCTCGGTGCACGCGCGTGCCGACGACGCGAAAATCGATGACGCGTGAAGCCACCCTCCGCACCCTATATTGTATATATTCTGTGTATGGTGGTACAGGGTGCGTTAATGCACGACCCCTCCCATTGGCCTGTACGTACAACATATATATATATATCTCCACTGTACGTGCATGTGTGTGTACACACGTCACGCGTGTACACATATGTGTATGGAAAATACTGCTAATTCGAGAAATTAATATTCCAAAAGAGGCGCGATGGATGAACAGGCGAAAAATGTACCTACATGATTATAAGGACGAGGTGGGCGTGCGTGTGTTGCCTGGCTGGTATGGTGGCCGAATGAAATGTCACCGCAGCAGCTCTTGGCTACACTGTGTGTGTTGTACAAAGGCGCGAGTAATGAGACGGTGGTGGCAAGATGTGTATACATACAATGAGACTCCGTAAAAATATATGAGGTGTGAATACCTTATACGTGCGTGACTGTGTTTTTTTTTTGTTTCCTTCCTCCTATTATTCCTAATGGCTTTTTGGTGGTGTGGTCTTTCAGAGAGAGGGAGTGTGTGGGTGGAATGAACCTTGGAAGCGTGTGCGTGTGTGTGTGTCATCGATTGGAGTGATTTCTTTATTCCCTCGCTCATTTTGTTGGGGGTTGACGCTTATGTGTATCTTTGAGGAAACCATAACTTGAACGGACTCTCGGAAACATTGAAATTATCACCCGAAAACTTCTAAACAGTGCAGACACATGCCTTCCTTTCACAATTATTTCCCTTCCTTCTGTCCGTACCTATATATACTTGTAAAGGTATATAGAAGCGTAACCCACGCGCTACGAAAGGGAAACCTTATTAGACGAACAGCAAAAAACGCGCGTGTAAATCCTTACCCCTCCGTACTCGGATACATTATAATATAATGACAGGGGAGCTGGGCGAAGCTTGAATATCAAAGCAGCGAGCGAGATTAATTTAGCCGGCAGTTGTATCATGCGGTATCATGTACATAAAAACATGTGTGTGTAAGAGATAGAGAGAGGGACTAAAGGACACGTTACGTCTGTTGCAGGACTGGGGCTGCAGTTCAGCCGGGAGCCGGAGGATCAGCTCGTGGAGCAGGGCAGGCCGGTGAGGCTCGATTGCGAGGCGCGCCTCGACATCCAGCCTGGGGGTCTGCTGCAAGAGCTGCCTGTCATCATGTGGCGCACCGACGATGAACAACCGATCAATTTCATCGGAGATCGGTACAGGTGAGTTGTTGCTGTACTGTTGTTTGTGCGTTTCAATTGCCACGTGGGTTATCGTGTGTGTTTGGATTGTAGCTAGAGCGTTTCATTTTTTTTTTTTTTTTTTTTTTTTTTTTTTTTTTTTTTCTGGAATACTATTTTGGTGGTACACGGAGATTCAATTACGTCGACCCTATACACGCATTTGAATCAGTTGTCTTTCAAAACAAAAGACATCAAGTATCAAGCAAGTGTTATTATTCGATACAACCAATCATCATGGCCTATCCAAGAATTCAAACAGTTTTATAACAATGGAAAATTAAAAGCTATGTACACTCGTTTAAAAAATACTTTTATACATTTCGTTGTTTGATAATTTTACGTGAATAATAGTTTTTCTACATCTTACCTATGTATAATTGATTGATTATATTGGCATCTATGATATGAATTATATATTTTAGGGTATTATTTTTTTATTCGAAACGACGTTCGTAACTTAAAAAAAAACTACAAAGCTGTAACCACGTAACTATAATCTTAATGAATAACACAACGAACAAAAAAAGGCTTCAGTTCGGTGTCACTTAATATTTCAAGATCAGGATCTTATTCCTGTCATTGATTGGTTTATTATTTTAATAATTGAATTGTGTTGTAATCGATATAATTAGTTATTTAAAAAAAAAAAAAAAAAAAAAAAAAGAAATTGATCTGCTGCAACAATCGAAAGGTATAACACTCGTAACATTGTACGCGCATGGCGGAGAAAATTACATGAAATCTGAGATCTTTTTTACTTTCTTGCTGCAAGTGCTCACAAAGAATGCTCAATTATACACAATAAAATTTAAAAAAGTTTAAATTTTTTACTTCATTTTACTCTCGATTTTACTACTAATTGTTAAATTAAAATTAAAAAAGAAAAAAAAAATTACAACAAGTTTCGGAAATTCCTGCAAGTAAATACTTGTCGTTTAATTGTTTGTTCAATTAGACGATGGAAAATTTTCTTTCAAATGTGCCCATAATTCGAGGGAACAAAAAACGAAGTAAAGCAAATCAATGACTCGAGCATCAGAAACAATTAAACAACAGTATACGCACCGGTGCCATGGTACGGGCGCACCACCAATGCCACAAGCACAATACGCAAAGGGCTAATAAAATTATAAACTCTCGGTCGCGCACAATGGAACCTCTAATGGGATGCTAATTACCATCGGTGAGCGGTGATTCCTTTTTACGAGTGCATATACGCCTCGAAATTACTGATGCACGCGCGCCGTGCACAATATATAAAAGGGGCCCCACAATATTGCACACCACTCGCACACGCAGCAAAACTATGTATAATGACAGTCTCGTGGTCACGGCTAAACACGCACATTATAGGGGCCCTTTTTTTTGTACCTTCTTTTATTTGCTGGTTCCCTGCCTTTGTGAAAAAAAAAGTCCTTAGAATCAATGAAACTACGATGTACTCCAGACTTACCATGGATATGCGTCACTACTCCCTTAAAAAAAAGAAAAGCGATCCCGCTATCACTGCCGTGGTTCCTAAGGGACCCGCCGACAGAAACCAAAGCTCGTAGAGACAAAACGGGCAAAATCTCGGCTCCAAGCGGAGAGTCGCGGAGGAAAATAAAATTTCTATCCGCTACCATCGTTTCGTCGAGGGACACCGTAACGGAGAAGCTCTCGCTGTCGCAACGTTGCAGAGAAGAAAAAAAAAGGGGGAGTAAAGGCACTCGAGAAGTGCCATCAGCACACCGCTTCCCCCGTCCCCGTGGTCCGTTTTTCCCGCGCTCTTATCGCTCATCCGCTTATCTCCGCAACACTGCGGCTCGATAGCACGCCGGTGCGCTGTGTTGTATATATGTACGTGCGCACACACCCACGCGCGCCTGAAAGTCTCTTCCACGGCCCAAAGAGATAAAAGCCTGTGATCTCCGGTGCCACCACCCGTTATCTCCCCCCCCCCTCCTCTTCTTCTCTATTTACTCGGACACCAGACGCTCCGTCTGCTTCTGTTTCTGAACTGTGTACATCGTCGCTGTTCCGCTGCCCGAGAGCATGTGCTGCATCGTGTTTTCGAGGAGCCCCCCGGTTCCGCCTCGTTATATCCCTTGTTTGGGTTGCTTTACTTTTTTTTTTTCTTTTTTTTTTTTTCTTCCGTGCTTTTTCTCCACTTTTGTGACACAAGTTTTATTTGTACGACAAATCACTTGTTCAAACCCCTTTGAGCTTGCAAATTGCATCAACTATTTTTCACCGGATCTATCGAGTGTTACAATTTTTTAACAAAGACAAAAATGACAGTGCAGGAAGGTTGAATTGAAAGTATGAAAAGTATATTTGGGACGTGAATATTTCAAAATCTTTAATGCATCAATGGGGGACGTCAATCCTTTTGGGATGACAATTTCTCGGATTGGAGCTGATGAAATAGTTGGTGAACAACCGTGAAATTATTCAGTGCGCGATTCATATATTTTTAATAAAAATCACTAAAATCTATAGCACACGATTAAATTTATCATTTTTGAACCTCACTCTATAGCAACCGAGTCTTAGTATAGCGACATTGTCGATAACTTAAAATTTAACTTTGGGCTATACCTCAAAACTAGGCTACGCATGATCAAATTATATTTATCGCTTTTAAACGTGTACTTAATTATAATGTTATGAACAGTGTGCAGTAACCTTAATCTAATGTGATTGAGTGATTGCGCCTATTTTAATTCTATGCTGCAAACACAAAATATTACCATTAAAAAGTTTTAATGCGTGATGCCACTCGGTACTTTTTGACACTGCTCTCCTACATCAAAAGACAATGCAAGCAACTTGCAGTCGGAAAAATGTATTGAGTAGTTTTTGGTGATTAGATTTTTATAAAAAAAAAAAAAAAATAAAAAAAATAAATAAATTTCGAGTATTTTATGAATGTTTGTATCTATATTGTAATTTATGGCTATATCTTGGTGTACCTCTTTTGCTACAACACTTGGATTCCAATGAGTCATTCAAGGCACGAAGTCGTCCGTAAAATTTTCATGACGAACTCAATAGTCAAAAAATTAACCAAGACTATCTTTCATATTATGACGTTCATAGTGTTCATACATCTCAGATTATACGATGCTTTTGTTTTCCACGCGCACCTGAATCCAACAGTTTACCACTTTCAATGCCACTTGAACTTGGATATCATTATCGTCTCGCTCATTCATTTGCATTTTCCGCGCATCAAATTGTGCAACGATGTATTATTTTTTGGGAAAAGAAACCACTTAGCGGACGTAAATGACCTTGTAATGATTCTTCAAACCCCACCCCCAGCCGTTATCGTTATCATCGGCTCCGTAATCTCACCGAGCGTAAAGTATACCCAACCCACGAAAAGTCAAGTCACGAGTGTTCACTCCAACCCCCCGATCCCGGTCACGCTGATAAGAGATACGGATCAAGCGAGAGAGAGAGACAAGGAGATGATACACCCAGACGCGCCGACGTCTGTTGCGAGCGAGATAAATTTAAAGACCGCCTGGCGGAAGAGCAGGATGAATAGCCGCAGTCCCGACATTAATAGACTTTTAACGATGCCTGATGGGAGTCTTTTCTCCTCTTTCTATAGTATACATATATGTATATGTGTATTGTGCTGCAATATATAAAAAAATAAATAAATAAATGTGCCTCCGTTTGTTCGGTCCGTAGGAGCCAACTGCCCAACGGTTCGCTGTACATAAGCTCGGCCAACGAGGAGTCCGTGGGCAGCTACCAATGCCTCGCCACCATCGAAAACGTCGGCTCCATCGCCTCCAGGACCGCTGTCGTTAAAATTGCCAGTGGGTATCATCGTCATCACTATTATCACTATTTTTTATTTCCATATCACACCAAAAGACGAGTCGTTGGACGAGTTTTAGTGTTTTTCGCCTTTTCACTTGCAACGAGGGCTCGAACAATATAATATTATAAAGGGACGGTATACAAGTATTCATTCTCGTCACACGCTGCGCGCGCGAATGATTCACGAGCGTGTAATATATTATACCAGCGCATGGACAATATGGCACGTTTACGACGAGGACGCCTCTTTTTTTCTTTTTTTTTTTTCTTTTCGGGAGAAAAGTGTCGTACATGTATATTATACTTGCGACCCCCGTCTCTCTCGGCTATTGTAATATTTAACGAATCGACGCGTGACTCATCCCGATTCTCTTATCTTTCGTGCGTGGTATATACTATACGCGTGACGTGACTCGGTTGGGAAAAGGTGTAAAATTGTATACAATGCAATATGGTAAGATCGACTAAACGTGGTTCTCCCAAAAGGTCTGCCGGGCTTTGATCGCGAGCCCCAAGACACGATGGTCTACCCCGGCCAAATAGCCTATCTGGGCTGTAAATTGGCGACGAGCGACCGGGTGGACGTGCAGTGGCTCAAGGACGAGCAGCCGCTTCTGCTCGACGAGAGCCGGATGACGATCATGCCGTCAGGTAAGTGGATATGCTTGTTTTCGTTATTGTTTGCGAGGTGCTTCCCTTTCGTTGTGTATTACAATAAGCTCTCGCGGAGCTGCGGTATCCTCCTTATTTTATCCATGGCTCCTGTGGCTTTGAACAATGCCATAGATTCTGCATTGGACGCGTGATGGGGTTACGAGAGCTTACCCTACCGGAGTAAATGTTTCATATTCGTTCGTTAAACGAATCATTATTCATTTATTATTATTACTTTTTTTTAATGGTCCATCTTTGCGTAAAGCTTAGAAATACCATTACATCATGTACGTGTGGCGAATGTGCCAAAACTCGAAACACCTATTGATGGACGAAATTTAAGTGCCATAATAAAGATGAAATAGACCGATGGGTTTCAAAGCGCTCGAGTGATGTTGCGCAAACTATGCATAGTAAAAAGTTTTTTGTAACTTTACAACGGTGGGCGTTGGAAAATATTTTACATCCCGAAATGTACTAGCCAATGCTATTCAAATTTTTCCCAAGGCTGGTAGTAAATTTACGAATCACTTTTTATTGTCTATTGGAGCTGTAGGGACCAATTTAGAGTTTAATATGGGGTCAAAATAACAGTCAAAGGTCCAAACGAAAAATTCGTCAAAGAGTTGTTTACTATTTGTCCCACGGTTTATGTCAAAATATTTTTGTTGAAGTTGAGTTGAACCAACGAATTGTTAATATTTAGTTCCAAAGTCAAATTTTCTTCCAATATGGTACAAGTGATATTTTGTACAACCATCATAGTATCTTTTATGTCGTAAAGTACCTATACTAAAAATGTCAATAGCAAGTTCCGATGGATCAGCCCATAATACATTCATTAGCAGATACTCGTGACCCAAATCCGATTCTAGTGCAGTTGAATTGCAAGCCCGTTTCTCAACCACTTTGGTCCCACACGTGAAATCCGTCCATTCATTGGTTGAAGCATTGTAAAATGAAAAAAAAAAAAAAAAGCAAATACGTTTGTACTATGTTTTCTCCCAAAATTATGAAGCCACGAAGTGTAGAAAGCGTCACCCATCGTTCCGATATAAATCTCCCTTAACAGAAAACAAAAAAAAAAAAAAAAAAAACGTTTCAAAATTGCTCAACAGGAGCTCTGGAAATCGACGAGGTGCTCTCGCAAGACGTCGGCTCGTACAGGTGCAACGCAAGCGGATACGGGCAATTCAGGCTCAGCAACAAAGCACAGCTAACCCTTCAGACCAGCGACATCGGTAAGTACCGCCGATATGGCCCACGACGCTATGTCAAATTTAAATTGTTCAACGCGTAATTTATCATACGTGTACGTGCAACCATTAAGTTATGCAATTTTCGAGCGCCAAATAATTTTAAACATATAGTAACACCTTGTTGCCACAGACGATCCACATCGCCCTGTAATTTTCCCAAGCTTGTTAAACGTCCAACTTTTCTCTTCCACTTAACTAAAACAACGTATCGCTCACTTATATATATATATCCTCTTAAAACTAAGGTCTAAAGAGTCGAAAGTTTTGACTTTCGAGGAGTAAAATATACAGGGGTGGCTCGTATTACCACACCCCCCTAGTCATCGAACGAAGGAGGGAAGGTTCCGATCGAAATAAGCGATTGTTTTGACAAACGCGACTCCCACCCTCTTGAAAAAACAATCGGTGTGACTAAGGGGGGGAGCCACCCTCTCTACTCTTATCTTCGAGAGTCAGACCAGCTCGGCCGTCTGCACCAAATATCATACACTTTGACTGCGTGGGAAAAAAAAAAAAAAAAAAAAACTAACCAACCTGTTCTCCGTCGATCGAAAAGTAGAGGAGGGCGAGAGCGCGCCAGTCTTCGTGGCGAAGCCCTTCAGTCGGGTGGTCGCTGTGGAAAAGTCGACGGTGACGCTGGAGTGCGCCGCAAACGGGAACCCGAAACCCGACGTCTACTGGCTAAAGGACGGCACCTCGATCGACCTCGCCGCTCTGGACACGAGGTAATTCGAGCACTCTCTCATCGTTTGCAGCCAAGCCCTTAATCCGAGCCAAGTGGAAAGATACAAGGCTCTCGCGTTGAAAGGCTGCTTAAAACGAATTTGTCGGGTGGAGCGTCTTCTCGAACACTGTATACTCGCGTCGTTTGAATTTTAAATGCGTTGGACGGGCGCACGGATTCTCGGTGAAGAAGGAAAAGCCGATGGTGACCGGCTCTGTTGTGTAGACACGCGAAACTTGTTTATTGGCTGCCACGTGCACTCTTTGGACGCTTAAGCAAACTTCCGTTTTGCATTGCAAAACCCAACGGCCGATCGATATTTTCGACAACTCGTTTGGAAAGCTCTCGGCAGTTGGGGTATTACGAGCAACCGCGCGGGTGTCGTACTTACAGGTGTATGCGTGTTATTTAAATTCATACCCATTTACAAAATGCGCGATCACGGCATTTCTGGAATAACCAAACGGAATTATATCAAGGATTTACGGCCGAAGAGGATGTAAAATTAACTTGACGCGCTTGTAAAAAAAAAAAAATGATGTTTTCGCGTTGATTTTTCGTTTCACCGACGATTTTTTCTTGGACGTATAAAAACTACATACGTGACCGAGGCGTTGTGTCGACCGGTAAAAAATGTATGCCCCATCGGCTTCGAGCACGAGAAAACGTTGGAGTAACTCGAAACAACTTGTCCCTCAGGTATCAAACGGTCGCGGCGTCCAGTCTGATGATCAAAGACGTCGCGGAGGAGGACACGGGCTCGTACCAGTGCCGCGCCAAGAACGACGTCGACACCCTCGACGAGGTGGCCGAGGTCGTCGTCCAAGGTATAACTATACACTATATTTTCAGTATCTGCCAATACAATTACTGTATATAATCGAGGGGCCGTGCACTCGAAAGTCGAGGCTTTTGCGATGTCTAAAAAAATAACTTAAGGAGACGCTAAAGTCTTCAAAAGTCTTGCGCGACTTTGGAATCTTTCGAAAGACCAACAAAGGCATTTATGACATTTTGTAGGCTCTTAAAGACTTTACGTGACTTTAAATAACTTTTGAAGTCTTTTCTGAGATGACATCATTGATAGAAAAAAATGGTAAACATTATCGTGCTAGAATGGTAATCTGGTATAGTGTTCGGTCATCTAGAGACTTTTTACTATCTGAACGATAATTTTTACTGTTTGTACGATGGAAAGTACTGTCCGGTAAAAATGAGGTTGGCAAAAGTAAAAAGTCCCCAGACGACGCAATGATACTAGATTACCATTCCAGCACGGTAATTTTTACCATTTTTTTTTCTATCAGTGTTGAACAGTGCAAAGCCCCTCGCCACTCTACCCGTGGGTGTGACGTGTTTTTTGTTTTTTTTTAACCGAATATATTTTTTATTTCCCAACAAAGTACCGCCGAGGTTCGTCAAAAGGCCCCAGGACAGAGAGGCGAGCGAGCGCCAGGACCTCGAGTTCGAGTGCGAGATCTACGGCAAGCCACCGCCTACGGTCCATTGGCTCAAGAACGGCGAGCGGATCAAGCTCAGCACTTACTGGCAACTCACGAACGGGTTGGTATACATGACAAATTCATCCCAGAGCCCCATGGGGGGAGGGAGGACTCGTATCTTCTCACGAGTGATTTTTAAAGACCCGAGCGAGGAAATTTCGTAAAAAATCCCCCGAGCTCGGGGACACCCGTATACAAAACGAGATACCCACTCAACGACAAATTGCTCGGTTTTCATGTTTCTGTTTTTACTTTTTTTTTTTTTTTTTTTTTTTTTTTTTTTTTTTTTTTTTTTTTCTTCCTTCGATCCCCCTACCATCATTTTTTATCCAATTAAAAGTTCCCGAGCCCCCTCACAATGGGTTTCGCGAATCTATTATCGCGCGCTCGAGCTTCTCCCCACCCCCCCTTTCTTCCTCCTCGGCTTAATTAAAAGTTTCAAAATACGTTTAGTAGGTATACATCGCAGCCGAGTCGGGCCCCATTCACCCACTGTGCAACCGATGGCCAATAGTTTTCCAACTCACCGTGATACACGCATCATCCATAAGCCAAAAATCGCCCGAGTTTTGCAATTAAAAGTTCCCAATGGGGCCTCTTTCCATCGAATCGTTTCGCGTTAATTAAGCACCTTCCCCTCCCCCGATCTTTTTTGACCTTTGTTCGCGGTAATCGCATGAATCAGTTCGTCAACGAGGCGTGCGCATAATACAAAAAAAGCGCGAATTGTTTGTCTCTGGCTAATTGCGAGCTATAGGGAAGAAGAAAAACAAATCATCGTAATAAAACAGATTGGCGTGTATAGCGCGACGTGACTCCACTTCCATTGTAAGGGGTAAATTAATCGAGCGCGACGCGAAGAAGAGGAAAAAAAAAAAAAAAAGAAGAAATCTCGATATCGAGCCGAGCAAAAAGCATCACTCGGTCGCGAGGGCCCTGCGCTTGTAAATGTCTGGCCGAAATAAATTTTCCGCTCCAAATGGCACCAAACTCGCGACACAATTTCCGCGCCATAGGCTCCTACAATAACAGTACTCTCCGATCGGTGTGTATACCTACTTTTGTGCATGCACACATATACATGTATTTATGTACCCTCGCGCTACTTTTCCCTCCATTTCACGCGTGCAAACAAACCAGAGGAGAAAGAGGAGATTGTTTTGTCGTCGTTGTATATACTTACCGTAACGCTTGTGTTTTCGGCGTTTGTAACTTTGGACGTGTATATATTTATACATTTGCACATCACATGCAGGTATATAAAACGTTAAAAGAGCGCGTGTCTCTGTGTTTTGGCAGATACAATCTCAGGATAAACGGCCTGCTCAGCATAGACGCGGGCATCTTCCAGTGCATGGGCACCAATCCGGCCGGTAGCGTGCAGGCATCGGCTCGGCTCGCCATTCATCAACCGAGTGAGTACACTTATAACTCTTTTTATTTTCCATCGTGTACATATTATATGTATATAAGTGTCTAAAGTATATGTATGTCGTGTAGACGTGTTTCTTTTCTTTTTTTCTCTTTTCCTTTCAATTGCACAATTTACACTCGCGCGCGTGTCTTTTTATTTCAATACCTTCGATGTCCGCGCGGCTAATTTACACGAGCGATTTTCCATCGTATACTTATACGCGTGTGCGCGCAGATTTATTCGGATCGCCGACATATATATATATACATACGTTCGCCGAGTTAATTTGTTAATGCGGTGTTTCGTGCCTGTCGCAGCGATACGCGCTATGCCATGCGGACACACGTACTCCGGTGTATACGTGAATGAAAACGAGGGGAAATGAAAAAAAAAAAAAAAAACTTAGCTGCCGACCGAGTTGTAGATGACTGTTTACGATTATATGTATACAACATGTGCTCGACTGGTTGTTGCACTCTCTCGCGTATATAAGGCGGCGAGTTACTTTTTTTTTTTTTCCTCCGGCCAAGTATCCGCTGCTGATGGAAATCGTTGAGATGCCTGTGTGTATTCCGAGAGTGCGGGTATTTTGGAATGCGCGACGTTATTGGTAGACTATTGTTGGAGTGCTCTTTTTTTTTCTATTCTCTTGGTGTTGATGAGTTTTTGTTCATTGTCGTCGCGCGCCAGTCGAGTGTTGGATGAGACTTTTGTCGTTGATTGGAGTAGGTATCCCTCCCCTATAGAGACCACTGGAATTGTAAACGTGTCCGTTGCTCTGTCGTATATAATATACCGTCATCCCACAGTCCGATGATACACGTATCCTTTTTGTTTTTTTTTATAAACGATTTTCATTTTGAAAAAAAAAAAAATTTATAAAAAGCACACGTACATATGATTTATCTTACATTTTATTTCAATCATGATTTTTTCGTTTAATTGTTTTCTCAAAGGCCGGGCTCGCAATTTGCGTTGGAAAAAAAAAAGAAGAAGACATAGGAATTTACTCGCGAAAATTCCAATTAAAACTTGTTATACCTTTGAGAAAGCAAGCAAAGCCTCGATTTAATTTCCGATCAGAGAGCCATTTTTTTTAATTTTGCATTTTTTCCCCGCCCACCCTCTCTCTTTTATCATCCTCTTTTGCCCGGACACCTGCCTGCCTGCCTGTTCGTTGTCCCACGCTCGTCGATGTACTAACCGTCGTTTGCATGCTAACTGTTGAAAAACAAAAAAATTGCATACCACGGCGACCGCAACCGGCAAAAAAAAAAAAAAAAAAAAAGAAAAAGAAAAAGAGCGAAAGGGCTCGATGCGCAAGTCGGCCTCGGAGAAAAAAGACGGGCCAGTGAAGGGCCCGTCGTCGGTGGTGTCGAAAAAAAAGCTGCCCCACCGGTTGCTGTCCAACAGCACGTGGCAGCACCCGAGCACCCTCTTGGGCCACACCTCGTCCGCGTACACGCCCAACCCGGCCCTCTCGGTCAACCCGTCCGACGACCCGGCCGACTTGCTCAACAGTCCCTTCGGCCAGCAGTTGCCGGTCGCCAATTTTCCCTTCGAGCCTCCCTACGATCCCACCGTTGCAGCCGACAACTTCGACCCCCTGAGCTTCGGCGAGGCCGCCGCCCCACCCTCGGCGCCCAGGAACCTCAGCAGCGAGCTCGTCAACAGCCGGTTCGTCGTCCTCAAGTGGCAGGAACCCGATCTCCCCAACGCCGAGATCGCCAACTACCTCATCTACTACAAGCAGGAGGGATTCGAGAGGTAGGTCCACTCTTTCTTCTTTTATCTTTTCCGCCCCTCCTACGTATAGGGTACATCACACCACCTGATCCCTTATCCGCGCATAAGCCGCTCTTCCGATAAGTGGATCAAGTCCGGGAGGTAGGGAGTCGATACAGCCCGTTCGATCGGATTAAGCTTGTACAAGCAATTGACACCCTTTGCGCCAAACAAAAACAAAAAAGTAAACGCGAGATCGATCGATGGTTCATTGTGTCCATCTCCCTCCCAGAGAGTCGGCTTACTCCTCGGCGTTATCCGGCATCTTGATTATCGTAGCTAGCGCGTTATCGGTGTGCCCGTTGTTTAGGGAGAGGATCGAGCGAACTCCCCACAAGGAGACAACGGTCACCATAAGCGGACTCCAGCCCGGGACGAGTTACCAGTTTCGGGCAGTGGCCAACGTTAGCAACGTCTTCAGTGCCTCGAGCAAGGTGTTGCAACTTACCACAGAGTCAGAGGTGAGTTTTAACCGATGATTTTCTTCCTCCTTTTTTTTTTCCCTCCAACGTTATTTTACCCCATTTGCATCCGCTTGGACTGCATGATTGGCGAGAGTTTGATGCGATATATTGTTTCCCCTGTGAAGCCCAACGTGCCGAGCCAGCCTCTGAACCTCAAGGGTTGGGCGACGAGCAGCAAGAGCGTGGCCCTCACGTGGGAGGAGCCGACCGTGATTAATGGCCGGATCACCAGTTACCTCATCACTTACGCCGAGGTGGGCATCGTTGTTGCACCTACACGTGTGTCGTTGATCGATAGTTGACTCTCTCTCTCTCTTGTTTCCCACCCGCAGGGCGACAACGAGGAGGTCAAGAGGAACACGACCAACACGGCTTACGAGCTGATGGACCTCGCGCCCTACCAGGAATACAATATCTGGGTTCAGGCGGTCAACGACAACGGACCGGGCGCCTCGACCGGCGAGATCCGAGTTAGGACCTACAGCGCCCCGCCATCCAGTCCGCCCAACGTCACCGTCGAAGCGGCCAGCTCGACCGTACGTATATTATGGTGTGCTCCTGATGTCATCAATGCCAATCTAGCGTTTGTTCACAAAATTTGGTTTTTTTTTTTTTTTTTTCTACCGTAGAGCGTCATCATAAGGTGGGAGCCACCGGCGGAGGGACAAAACGGCATAATAACCGGGTACAAGATAAGGTACCGGCCGGCCGACCGGCGTTCGCCCACCGCCGTCGAGGTGACGGAGGGCAACCAGCGGATGCACGTGCTCAGCCGGCTGGAGAAGAATGTGAGCTACCAGGTGCGAGTCTGCGCGTTCAACGTCAACGGGACCGGGCCTTGCTCCGAGTGGCAGGACATCGAGACCTACGAGAACGTTTTGTCCGAGAGTGACGTGCCCAACGTGCCGACTAATCTCAAAAGTTTGTGTATAAAATTTGTTTGTATGCCCATCGTATCGTCCAGTTTTGCTGTAACGTTTCGATTCGCTTTTAGCCAAGGCAATGTCGGATTCTATACTGGTTTGGTGGGGACCTCCAAAGGATCAGACCATCAAGGTTAGGGGGTACGTCCTCACTTGGGGAAAGGGCGTGCCCGACGAGTACAAGAAAGTCTTGGACGGCAAGCAGCGCTTCTACACTATTGAGAATCTCAGTGAGTACAATACGGGTGTTTCGATGGTAAAAGGGGAATATATATATATATATATATAACAACATTTGGTTGCGTTGTCCGTTCCCAGAGCCAAATTCCGAATACGTGATAACGCTGAGAGCGAAAAACGAAGCTGGCGAGGGAACGCCGGCGTACGAGAATGTGAAGACGATCGAGAGGTCGACACCCGAAAGTGCCGCGCCTCTGACGCCTCCGGTCGGCCTTAAGGCCATCGTTATGTCGCACAGCACGGTCGTACTCTACTGGACCGACATGACGCTTTCGAAAAATCAGGTATGCGTCTTTTACCTTTTCGTGTGCTGCGAGGCTCCTCGTAAGGTGATAGGTAGTATGATTTTGCTTATTAAATTTTTTTTTTTTTTTTTTTTCCATTCAAAGTACATCACGGATAACCGTCACTACGTCGTGCGGTACACGTCTTATCACCGAAGTAACAATCCACGGTACAAGTATTACAACGCGACGGACTTGAATTGCATGATCCACGATCTTAAACCAAACACGGAGTACGAATTCACCGTAAAAGTTGTCAAGGTACGTCTATATACGGGATATTTTTGGTTTTACCAGAGAGCAATGTTTTTGAAACGAAAATTGTCTGGTGCTTAGGGTCGACGAGAGTCGCCGTGGAGTATGGTTGTCCTGAATAAGACAACCGAGGTGAAACCAGCTTCGTCGCCGCGTGATTTGACCGTAGTCAACATCGAGGACTATCCGAGATCGGTTTTGCTGCGTTGGTTGCCGCCAAAACAATCCAACGGAGATATCAATGGGTACATCATTTCTTACACGACGGACAATACGAAAAACGACCGGGACTGGAAGGCCGAGGCTGTGGTCGGCGATAAAACCGAGTACGTGTTGTCAACCGAGCTTCAGCCTAGCACGACGTATTACTTCAAGATTCAAGCTCGAAACACCAAGGGCTACGGACCATTTTCCACCACAGTGTCTTTTAAGACTCTGGAAGGTAACCGAGGATTGTCCAATATGCTGATCTACATCATAATCGGGTGCTCCGTGTTGTTCATCACCGGCGTGTCTGTTGTTGTTGTTCTTCTTTGTTGCCGACAAAGTCCAAGTTCACCCGATGGAAAGAAAGGGTATGGTTTACAAATGATTCTAATAAAACTTTCAATACGTGTGACAAACTAAATGCTCAAATACATGTGTATTCACAGGTACCTCAAAGATACAAACATCAAAACCAACATTAAGCCTCCCGATCTATGGATTCATCACGATCAAATGGAATTGAAAGCGTTGGAGAAAAATATTGGAAACGGCGAAGCATCGACTAGCGTCACGAGCAATACTCTACCGCGATCGGGCAATACCGATTACAACAACCAAGACAATTCGATTCACGGCAATTCCAGCTCGTTGGACAAGCGTACTTATATTCCAAGTTACATGGGTATGTTTTATGTTTATATACACGGCAAAGTTACAATATGGGTATTGTTTAATACGCTTTCATACGTTCGTTAAACAATACAATACAGTATCGTAGTAGCTTGCTGTGAATAAAAAAAAAAAAAATTACATAATTATCCGCACAACATGAGCACTACATTTATTATTTTATTATTTCTCTTTTTATTGATTTTCATCATACATTTATTACTTTTTAATTTTAAATCCTTGGTTCGTTTTATCACAAAACACCAGGCACTGAAGAAAAATGTTCTACATTGAGTAGACAACACAGTCGGGGCAGCCACAAATCTAAACTCATTACACTTCCAGTTGACAGTGCACCTTTACACCAGCGTAAGTAACTAAAACATGATTGTCTCATAAAACTTGGATAACCATGCGATAAACGGGCAGACATTCAAGCTTCAAACATCAATATTTTTATTTCATTCCGATTTTGATTTGAGCACTACTTACAAAGTTTCATGTTATTCGCAATTTCCACCTTATCTAACAGAGTGTTTTTTTTCCCCCCCAGCAATAGCCACAGCTACGCCAATCGTCAACAGCAGCATGTCCCAGCAGACCATCCACAGTTCGTGCTCAGACGTGCCGTCTATAAGGCAAAATTATCCACGAACGGTGGCCCAATACAGCCTGAGCCGAGCCCACATAACTTTGGAACCCACCCCAGAATCCAGCCCAGACTCCTGTAATTTAACCAACTCGTACGAGCCGCTTCAAACGCAGGTACGTTACATCGGTTACATCGAGTCTCGACCGCAATTAAGTCTATTGGATTTTTTAACGCTGATTCTTTATTTGCTTGCAACAGTTGTACAGTTCAGGAGGGCCACAGTCGTACAACGCGACTTCGCAGTACACTTCAAGCGGCTACGGGGATAGCGGCCAGTCGGGAACTAGCTGCACCGGAGGTTCCGAAACCAACAGTGCCAAACGGCTGCAGGGGCACCCTCTGAAGAGTTTCAGCGTACCTGCCCCACCTCCACAGTCGGCGCCATCGACGCCCGCTCAACAGAAACACGGAGGTTTGGTTCATTTTTCAGAAATAATATTTCTTACTAGACATGAAAAGGCAATGATTAAATAATTTGATGGGCTTTTTTTTACAGTTTCTCAAGTTACTGTTAGACCAACGATATCGGGAAGTCCTTACAAAAAGGTCGCTGGTTCAAGTCAATTAATCAAAAACAGACTGGCTTCAGTGTCGAGTACCAACCACACTCCAGAAGAAATAGAACGGTTAAAGGTAAATTTTCAGCCTAAGCTTTATCCTGAAACATCCATGACAAACTTCTCTGAGTCTTACGCTCATTTGCAAGAGAAACATGCATGCGTTTTTTATCCGAAATTCCCGATTTGAAGACAAATAATTGTCGTAAAGTACAATCAAATGGCTGAATGATTTGTAAATTTTGCTCTTTTTAAACAGGGTAAACTTGCAATTTTCTCTTGAAATAACAAATACAACTAACTTGGAAAACAAAATTAATGATTCGCTTGAGCAGTAACATTTTGCGTGACCCTTTCTCTTTCCACAGCCGTCATATAGCACAGAAGAGTTGAATCAGGAGATGGCGAATCTTGAAGGACTCATGAAAGACCTGAATGCCATAACTGCATCCGAGTTTGAATGCTAAGAGTGAATCCTATTAAACAAAAAAAAATATAAGCACGTGCCATCCCCGTTATTCGGATAGACTGCATACACACGACCATGCTATCGTTTGCTTTTTTAAAGAAAAAGAGAAAACTACCCCGTTAAAGACGGTATGCATATACGACAAGAGGACGAAAGAGAAAGAGAGAGAGCGAAGACGACTCGACGGCTGTTGTTTTGCTTTATGGTTTTTACAGTATCCTGCACGACGTGAAACAATGTTTCCTCGCTCGAAAATCCACGTTTCCTCGCACTTTCTTATGCAGCGTGCTGGCATGATACTCGCAAGCATTGACATGTTAAACTAAGTGGACTTGCCATCAAAATCAAATAGCTTTGGATAAGCTAGACTTAATGTATACAATACGCATACGAAAGACTTGAGTGCTACGTTTGTTGGGTTTTTTTTTTTCTTTTTTTTTTTAAGAAAAAGTATTTTTTAACGCTAATGTAATCTTCTTGCAGCTGAGTGGGAGTGCGCACTGAGGTGAGCCCAGATGTGTTTGTGCATTTTTGTCTCTTCACAGCTTTAACGGTTCGCGTTGACATTGTGACTAAGAATCATATTCAAACATCTCCTCTATGGCTACAAATGCCAGGCCACGTTTTTGTGCATGACTATGTAAAAGAACGACATTTTAATCAAAAGTTATTGCGTGCGAACACTGTATTGTGCTAATCGGACATCCTTTATGAGTTATTGCATGTATCGACATCGCATCGATAACTTTGTGAACCACAAGACTTGATTCTACAAAAGCTACAAGCTGCCATATTTAAAATACTACGAGGTATGTCACCTTCATTTGAAGACAACAAGAAGAGATTTATCCTTTCTAGCAATGATTACGAACTAATTGTTAGTTTTACTGTGACTGTTCTTTTATTTCTTACAAATAAAAGTCAGAAAAAGATATGCGGAACGACAAATGTAAGCTATAAAATGAAACTTGTAAAAGAGAAGCACAAAAAACAATTTTTAACACGTCTTACAAATAACGTTAATCTGCTTTGCTTTTCTTAAAAAANTAGCCTGAGACCGATAGTTGGGTAAACGTGATCTATATTTCAATGATTCCACATCGTGCACCGTACGACTGTACAAGTAAATAAAAAAAATAAATAAAAAAATAAAAAATTAATGTCAAAAGCGCAACTCGGACGATTAATCGGAAAGATTTTATGTATTTTTTCCTCTCCGTAATGTTAGTCGTTTAGTATTATGATCTCATTGGATGAAAAAAAATTTCTTAGAAATCATCGAGTGTGGATGTAAAATAAAAGTGTTCAAGCAGCAATGGAAGAGTGTATGTAGATTTGATTTGAAAAGTTTGGTTTCGTTGTAAAATAATTATGTATCATAAATAAACAAAGAGAAGCCAGACTTTCGTGAAGGGATGAGTAATTCCGCACAATTATTTCAATCATATGTTAATGTAGTTTTTATTACGTATGAGAAAGATCTGTATTAGTTACGTCTCGTTTTTACACAAATTTTTAATCTAAAATCGATGAGATACATCGAAAAAATGTTATATAAACAAATCATGTAAAGATTATTTTTATGTATACTTGGAATGATTTATATAATTCAATGTTTGATATATTTCTTTATGAGACAATTGCATTCACTGAAGTTATTAAGAGAATCATCCAGTTTTTCCAAGTGCACATTTTCGTATTTTAATATAGTTTTGTAAGATTATACAAAAATAAGGTATGTACGTAATTATACATAATTTTTAAACTTCTCATTTATCAATGGCGAGAGAGAATGAGACAGTTTTCATACGATTGACTATTTCTAAAATCATATCTCCGCCAAAAAGTAACTGCCGAATTTGCCCAATTACACGTCATTATTAGACGATTAGTAATGCCACTGCGGACACAGTATCATTTTTCAGCAGTTGTAAACATTTTAACCCATTAATCATCTATTTCCAATTCAACATAACGACTTGTAAATATTTAGAGTGGCGAGGGTGTGAAAGCGATAGCTAAATGAAAGGGAATAAGAAAAAAAGTTTGCGATTAGCGTTAATCGTATCGACGCCTCATGTTTACACGAACAAGCGGTACGCCAACCACTTTATACTCGTGCCTAAAATAAGACTGTTCATTTTTTTTTTATATCGAAATATTAACATGCGGCACCGCTTGCATTTTCGCCTAAGCATTTTGATGAAGGAAGAAAAAATCAAAGTTTTTTTTCAGCTGTCACAGTTCGCAGATGTTTTAAAAAGTTTTCCCTCGTTTTCTAAAATCGTGGAGATTTTTTCCTCCCATGAAAAAATTTGTGAAAATTTTTATAAGTCCACAACTTTTCATGTCTTAAAATGGNTGTTACTGTTACATAATTTTATAAATCATCACAAAACTATACAAACATTAATACTAAAAATCAATCTTAATACATATACAATATTTTTTTAAATGTATGCATGTAGGTATAAGCTCATTACGAGTAATGTGTGTATATTTTACATGGCGTGAAAGTCGATTTTACCCACACTAACTTCTTTAATTTTATCAATCGTGGAGTGGTTTTTATTTTAACGGTATATTTTGAATAAAATATTATAGCGCACAGCTACAACTGTTAATAGTATATAGGTACCCATAGTTTTAAAGCCGCTTGTGCCACAACATTTTACACTAGTCATTAAATCGACAGCCTCTATGTTACATCATACGAGAATCATTGAGTTTTTCTACACCCTAAAAATTCCATAACAGTGACCAAAACTTGGTTTTTTTTTTTCAAGTTCTTAGAGACATTTTTCTTTGGTATTTAATTTTTTCAATTTTAATGAACATTTAAGTTTTAAAATTGCACATAACCGATTGTAGAATATATTTTTTGAAACAGTTATTAAAATAAAATTGGTTTTCCGCAAAGCAGAAGTAATTATTCGACGTCAGCACATATAAACGTTATTTTTACGACGCTACAGTTAAAATACGTGACACAACGCAGTGGTTCAAGACATTAAAATCAGGACAATTACGTTACAATGTTATCTTTCGAGATCACTAATTGAAGAAAAAAATCGTGTGTGATAATATTTGTAAAACTTGATATCTAATAAACGATCTTACCTTCTGTACAAAAAGTTTTTATATTTATGCACATTTTTTTATCATACGATGACATCTAAAATTTAAGGAACATTTATGTCTGCTTTGAAAATCTCAATGTTTAGGATGACATAGTAAAAGTCAAGGATAAATTTCTGCAAGTCAGGTGAAAAAAGTTGCTGCATTTATTCAAATACTTTAATATAGTTATATCAAATGAAATGTATTCTATGTTGTTTTAAGATAGTGATAATCAGAAGAAAATTTATTTTTTCAATTTTGGCAAGTCATTTTTTAAGTGAATGAAGGCCAAATCAGATTACCTAAAACATTTCATTAGTTCAATATTTCCACTTATCTTATCACTGTTGCTGTGCGTGAGTAAAAAAAATATATATAGAGGATCCAGGATGACTTATGGTGGTGAGTCCATAAATTCATGAGCCTAAATAATTGAATGGTTTACGAATAACAAGAAAAAAAAGGACATTTGTTAATCTTGATTTTCGTATATGTATTTACAATCATATTCCATTTATTATTTATTATCATACAAAAACTAATATTACACGTCGTGTAATGTACAATAGGATCATCAGTAGTGTGATTAATAATGATTAACAATTATGATTGTTGTGCTTCATGCAACAAGTAACAAAAGGAAACGTTTACATTTTTGATATCGTGTTTTTTTTCTTCTGTATTTTCCTAATCTCGTGACATCTCGAGACGATTTCACAAAAGTCACACTGTATTAGTTATATATAGTGCACTATCGTTTAGGTAAGTACAATGGATGGTTAAAAAAAAAAAATATTTAAATTGACAAAATCCTCTGAATCCATTGTAGACCAGGAAAAAGATGATTTAACATCGTAACGTGAGATTTTAAAAAAAAGTTTCTTTGAAGCTCTTATTTCTTATTTATGAAATGAAAAATACGGGACTTGTAAATGTGAATGCAATTTAGTTTGAGACAAATGCTCTTAAAGGGCAATGCTCTCGTCGAGATTGTCGAAAAATAAGTGCTCAAGAGTTGGACGAGTTACTGAAAAATTTTTTGTTTTTTTTTTTTTTAATATTGCTGTACGAAAATAAAGTATGATAATTTTTTTAGTATAAAAAACTTTTTTATTTTGTTGAAAAGTCGTTCAGAAACATATAAATTTTATATATACACTTTGTTTTAGGTATAAGAGTTGAAAAATTAAGTTGTGAGAGTAATATGCTTTAAAAGGTACGATTTTTTAAAACTATTACATAAAAAACATCATTATAACTTGCTCAAAGAAACTTTTCTATCAGTAGTCACTTGACAAACATATACATATGGCAACCCTGACTTTTAACATTACTTTTTTTTACTTATAATCTCTAAATGAGTATGTACGTATACTTAAAATTTACAGTTTACATTTTTCGATTTTAACTCTAAACGTTAACGGAGAAAAGTCTTATATACTTTTTTAACTCAAACTAAGATTATCATTGAAAACGTACGTTCACAGTCACTTTCAGATTTTGTTACGCTATGGATGAGTATCTCTTTGTATACTTAATTAAGTCTAGTTAGATTTAATACAAGGAAATAATTTTTCTTTCATGCAAAAAAACACTCATGCGCTCGACACAATAACTTGACAAATGTATTATACCAAACGTTTACAAAATATGATGCACTAAATCATTATATGGTTTGAACGTTATAAAAAAGGCGTGGGTATTTTTTCTTCGTTTTATCAACTTTTTTTTAGTATCACAAAGGTTTATCTTAAAAAATAATTTTTTTTTACACAATATATAAGTATTTCATGTTCATTGTTGATTTGTGTCTGTGTAATCAAGCTATACAAATGATTTGTGTAATCGTTATGAATTTCAATACGCTAAGAATCGGTACAAGTAAGCAAAGTAGGTCAATGAAATGGTCAAACTAATCAACAATAAATTACCGACATCATGATCGGTTTATAATCTCATAGTAGGTAATCGATTGTAGGTGATACAGGCGGTGTAGGCATGAGATTATCACTGCAGTCGTTGCTAAATTTTGCAGATCCTGAAGTAACTGCTGATGCAGTATTATACAGACTATACTTAAATACTAATTTTTGGAAGCACACGAAATTCACTGAATAACTTGTTTGAAAGTGAAAAGAGACTTTTAATGTCACAGTAGTGCGATCGATACGTTTGCGTACACAAAAATTTACAATTGTTGAATAGATTTGGAAAAAACTACGTAAATTGAGTCATGAATTTAGGTCGGATAATTTCCATCTTTATAAAGCACTGAATTGTTCTACTTTGCTTAGTCGTTCCCTTTTTTTAAAACTTGTATCCATACTCATGTGGTTTCGTATTATTGTGCCATATATGTTACTGTTACATAATTTTATAAATCATCACAAAACTATACAAACATTAATACTAAAAATCAATCTTAATACATATACAATATTTTTTTAAATGTATGCATGTAGGTATAAGCTCATTACGAGTAATGTGTGTATATTTTACATGGCGTGAAAGTCGATTTTACCCACACTAACTTCTTTAATTTTATCAATCGTGGAGTGGTTTTTATTTTAACGGTATATTTTGAATAAAATATTATAGCGCACAGCTACAACTGTTAATAGTATATAGGTACCCATAGTTTTAAAGCCGCTTGTGCCACAACATTTTACACTAGTCATTAAATCGACAGCCTCTATGTTACATCATACGAGAATCATTGAGTTTTTCTACACCCTAAAAATTCCATAACAGTGACCAAAACTTGGTTTTTTTTTTTCAAGTTCTTAGAGACATTTTTCTTTGGTATTTAATTTTTTCAATTTTAATGAACATTTAAGTTTTAAAATTGCACATAACCGATTGTAGAATATATTTTTTGAAACAGTTATTAAAATAAAATTGGTTTTCCGCAAAGCAGAAGTAATTATTCGACGTCAGCACATATAAACGTTATTTTTACGACGCTACAGTTAAAATACGTGACACAACGCAGTGGTTCAAGACATTAAAATCAGGACAATTACGTTACAAATGACATGAAGATTTGTGAGTTCGAAATTTTTAATCAATCATACCTGGCAAATTCTTGTACAATACGATTAGATATGAAAAAACATCATGAACAATATTACACTTGAAATTTATACCAAGAATTTTTTTCAGTACAGCCAGTAAATTTTTTATGCGAAAAAACAACACAAACGAATTTTTACCAAAATCATATTGGAAATCGTGTGAAAAGTTTAAACTATCTCCAATGTTCCCAATAAATATTTGGCATATTTCAATGGGTGCCGAAAATTTTCCTCCGAAAGAATAACCATTCACGGCATTGTAGTAAATACATCGTACTCCATTAGTTTTAATATCATAATATTATTAACTACTTTTATCTGGATTGACGGTACTTTTTTTTTTTAACTTCTAGCAGTTATTTCATTTTAATACGTATTTAAATTCGCAACGGTACGAAAATTTTGAGATAAATTACCACACGGAAATATTCTTGTTTCTATAACATAGAGTGTCAAATAAAATTTGAAAAAAAACTTTATTGGAATATTAAAATAGTCTTTCGATTGTCTCATAATAACAGTTCGAATATAGAAGCGACACATATATGTATAAATGCATGTGTATTAAAAATGTTGTTTCAAAATTCTGTATGGATTTTTAAAGCGTGTAACTTTTAATGTACCTAACTAGTTCGACTTTCTCACCCGAACTTCCATCTTCAGTAAGAAAGTATTCACACTATCATTTGTTTTACCTTGTAATTTTCTTATTCACCGATGTGCTTCATATTATCTCATCCATACTTTCGTGACACTACTTTATTTATCTTTAAACTTTCTCTTCGTTTTATACGTTTAAAAACCTTTTTTGTAGACTTTTCAAGCCGCAAAAACATCATTAAAATTTTTTGTTTTCCACAAAACTTTCACGACACTTCATAAATATAAAGTTTAAATTTAAATTTCTCTAGGGTAACGCCTATCGTGGCATTCATGATGTATTCATATATTGTGATTTGAGCTCAATCAATTTTACTTTATAATGTAAATTTAACATGAGGTGATGAATTTTGGAAACTGCGAGTATAGGCTCTTCGACGTTAGCGGCCTTCGTCCTCCTACCCTCATACATTGTTATTGTAAGCTCCCCGTGTACTTAGGTTCTTGAGTTCAAATCCCAAAACTTGGATGTATAGGTACCACCACCACTCGATAATACCACAATTTCGATTCGTGATTGTAACTTTTCTCACCCAAGACACCCACTCGCAATACACAATCTCAAATTTGAAAACTAAGAAGCATAAGGTTATTATTATTATTAAAGCACGCTTTCTCCCGTCTCGGAGCAAGAAACAAGCTTATTTTTATGTTTTTAGTATTTAATTATAAATGAGTATTTTTCTGTAGATACATATCAGTAGGATTTTTTTTCTTCCTCAAACTTAATTATTTCAGTGCGCTGACGATTGCAGTGCGAGCGCATGGCTTCCGTGAACGAGAGATGGGTTTTCTAATTGAATATTTTACATGGTATACTATTTCAAACACATATTTCAAGATAAAATCATCGTCGTTTGATCGCGTCTTAAATAACACTTTGGTCCTCAAAAATGAGAAGAATAAGAATATAGACAAAGAACCGACCCTTTGAATCTCCAAAAGACCCTCGAGACACCCACTGACGTTTTATCCATTGTAACTGCAAATACAAACTACTCACACGTCGCAGCAGATGATTTTTCAGTACAGCCTATTGGATGCTTGTTGTTGTCTAATCTCACACAAAAATCCCTCTCCTATACGCTTCAAACGGTGCCCACGTTGAGCTCAGATCTAATGTGGCCTATGCCAAGACTACCGACGAGCAGCACGACCGCGGTGAGCAGCGCCGGCACGACCAGGGTCACACCGATGAGCATCTGGTAGACTATCGTCGCCGTAAGTGCCGACACTTTGACGCAGGCCGCCATAATCCCGAAACCAGTGCATCTGCAAAACGGCGCTCGGTCGTTGACAATATCATTCTTGTTTTTTTTTTAGTTTTTTTTTCAAAGTTAACCACTCACCTCAAATGAGCCGGATAGAACTCGATCGTCAGGACAATCAAACCGGTCACGGTGAACGCGAGGAGCGCCACGAAGCCGGCCTCGAAGCCGAGAACGGCCGTGCTGTTGGCGCCGACCAGCAGTAGGCAGAGCGAAACAATGGAAGATAAAAACAACGACGAGCCTGGAACGAGCGGTGATTATTATTTTCACGTCAAGCGCATCAGTGATTCTACATGGAGGCATCTCAGTGCAAACCTATCGTCATGGAGCGCTTGGCGGTAGTGAGCACTAGGCCAGCCAGCACGGCGGCCGGCACTATGGTCAGCTGGGCCGCCAGGTGACTGTGTATCACTTCCTCGATGTAGATGTTGTAATCGAGATCCAAGGTGGGACAGGGCCCGCTGAGGCTGAGCTTCGTGTTGTTCTCCAGCTTGCATCTGGTGAACACTTGCGAGGAGAGATCCGTGTCGACGAACCTTGGACCAGAGTAATTGTTTATGACTTTTTACTTTTTTTTAAGGTATAGAGGGTGGAAAGGGAAAGTTGCTCACTTTGAGTCGACGATCACGCTGTCGATGAAGTGCGTCTTGCTGGACCTTATGTTGCTAAAGTCGACCGACTGGAAGGTGCAGTTGTCAAAGTCCACGTGACTGATGACTAGCTTGTGGAATCTGGAAATATGAGTTTTTTTTTTTTTGGAAAAATTGATTCAACGCGTCCATTGGATGTAGTAGATTCTTACTTGCAGTTTTGAAACCTCGTGTCCTTGTATTGGACGTTTTCCAACGAGCCGGCGAACGTTTGGTTCACGTACTCTTTGCCGACGAGTCTCTTGGTGTGGGAATTGTACTCCAAGGTGCGCAGGTACTTTATGTACTCGGGACACCAAACCATCAGTCCAAACAACCTGATGGGGAGAAAAAAAAATGATCCACGTGAGGTGACCCACACCATAAGGACAAACAATTGAAAGGCCATATTTTACCCAAAAGCCGTGGCTGACCACATGATCGCAAGGGCTATCGTGCCTTTGAGGTACGGATCGCTGAACACGCTCACAAATGTACTCCAGAACTAACGACAAATGAATTAGCATTAGATTTTTTTTTTTTTTTTTTCCAGTACAAGTAACATGTATAATTTAGTACTGTATAATTACCTTCTTGATGGAACACATGATGCCGGCCAGGACGCTCGTGTTGTGATTATCCGGCGTGGGGGGTCCCAAGCCCCGCGGCCTTTTGTTCGGAAGTTCCAGTTCGGAGAGCTGGTACTGCGCCCCGGCGGTCCTTTGTGCATTGTTTTTCTTGTAAATTTTCTAGCGACAAACAAAACCAAGCCGAATGAAACGAGGGACGAGGAGGGACGGGGGGGTGCGCGCCTACCTGGTAAACCATCATGGCCTCGACGTCCCGGCCGACCTCGACCAGGTACCGCGGGCTCTCGGGCAGGAATATCAGGCCCACGGTGGCGGAGAAGGCGGGCAGGCAGCAGAACATGAGGAAGCGATGCCAGGCGCTAAAGTGCTCCTTGTTCTCGAGGACGACCATCTCGCCGGTCGTCGGGACAACGGCCCAGGCGAGCAGGGCGGCGTAGACTCCTCCGAGGGCCGACGCTCCCACCAGCATGCCCGTCCACTTGGAGCGACTCGAGTGCGGGCAGCACTCGGCCAGGTAGGTGTAGGCCAGAGGCAACGCTCCCCCGACCCTGTTGTTGTTTGTTTTTTTTTTTTTTTGGTGAGAAAAGATTGTGTATATACATTGGCATTTTTGCGTTTGGGTGTTAGGAGGGGTAGTTACCCGATGGCCGAGCAGAACCTGGTGGTCATGAAGGTGCCGTAGGTGGGCATGAACGTGGCGACGCCGCTGAACAGGGCGTGGACGGACATGGCCGTCAGCAGGGATCTTCTCCGGCCGAGACGGTCGCCCAGGCCGCCCCAGAATATGCCGCCGATCGCCAGCCCCAGGAGAGTTATGTTGCCTGGAATTTAGTTGGGCATCGATTGAGTTGGCATAAGAGTTGTTTGGGACTTTATGGGTCATTTTTATAACTGTGTACAAGTCCACGGTTCGGCGAAAAGAAAGTGCAAATTGGAGAGTCACGGGTGTTCTTTGAATTTTCATCTTAGTCTCGGTAAGAGAACTTTTTTCAACGAGTGTACCATGATTCCTTGGTTTTCCATATCAATTTTGCCTTTTTTTGCAATTATCATACACTTCGTCGTTTGTAAAATTTAATGAAAAAAAAGAAAACAATTCGAAATTGTTGTCAAACAATTAAACCCTTTGAATTTCAAAATAAGCATCTTTTTGTTGGCTAAACAGATATTATTATACTTTTCTTTAATTTATGCTCTTTCATCCAAAGAAGGGTTTTTCCAATTCAAAGTTAAAAATGATACTCTCGTTGCAGCAAGGATTTCCGAGGTAGCGCTTTCTTTCCCCGAACCTTGACCAAGAGAGGCAGGAGGACGCTTTAGATTTTTCCTCCGAAAATGGCCATTGTTTGAAAAATGTCAACGACTCCCTTCTCGTTTGTACCTAGCCATCCTTTTTCACTGTCCTCGATGCACAGTTCGACCTCTGCGCTCGGAAGAATGTAGGGTAGAGCGAAGAACTCGATCGTGTCGGCGGCGAGGCAGAGTCCAACGTAGAGCGCCGCCAGCGATTGAAACTTCCCAACGCCGGTCTGCAAAGTCATTTTTTGTAGATGCACACATTTGTCGGAATCTTTTGTGATAAAATTAATTCGTCTTCGCGTTGAATTGGAACTTATTCCGAGCGCTTGGTTTCTCGACCGGCTACAGCCCAGTGGAGCGTTGTTTTTCAATTTTGCGCTACATTTTTTTAATTGTATAAATATCTTCAAAATGTCATTTAAGCGAGTCACGCATACACCACGGGATTCTTTTTTTTTTTTTTCAAGAACTACGTTGATTGACAGATTAGGATAAAGTACAGTATACGTACAGTGAGCAGTTATTGCTGCTTTGCTGATGATTTCGATTCATTTTTAAATTGGCACAAAAAAACAAAACAAAACAAAACAAAAATACTGTACCAGGTTGTTTTATTGTAAAACTGTAAGAAATAGAAATAAATTTTTCGTATGAAATCGTTTCGTCGAACATTTTTTATTTGTTTGAATATTTAATTGACGAATATTAATACATTATGACGAACTCCTGCAATCGGTCGTTTGTTTTATTACACACCTAAACTATTTAAAAGGATTGAAATTATATTAAAAACTCGTTAGTGATGTATACCCAAGCGAAAATAATTTCATCCGATTAATTGGTAATAAATATTTTAAACAATAAATTAAAAATAAATAAAATATAAAAACAGTGTATAAAGTTTAGATTTGAGAGAACTAATAAAACTTGTGTATTCACAATTATCTTTCACAAGTTATTATTGAAACTACTTAATACTTATTATTCGTTTTTTTTTGTTCGCGAGATCGATTGGTGCAAAAGGTATCCGCAAAGATGATCATTNACACACACACACACACACACACACACACACACACACACACACACACACACACATATAGCCGTTGGGGCTCTGTGAGTTTAATCCGCGCTTTTATCGATAAAACTCGTCGGCGTTTCAATTTGTTTTCGCTTTAATTGGAATTTTCATCGCAGGAGCTGGAAACGGGCTCTCTGTCATCGTTGCTTGCTTGTTCTTTCTTTGTTTTTTATCCGTAGATTCGAAGTTTATTGGGGTTGTTGGTAACGATAGTGATAAATCAAGAAGCTTATATTTGCAAAGTCAATCGCGTAATCATTTTTAAAATAAAATACACTTTTGAAAACTTTTTTGTACTGAATATCGTGCATTTTGCTGTTTAATAAAGGTATACATGCATACGACACGATTACATGCCGACGTGCATTCAACTATTGTTGTCCGGAAGAGAAACTTAAGTATAATCTCTATGTCTCTTTTAAATCAACGATTTGAAGTGTAAACTATTGATAATTTTACTTACAGCTTTATAGTACAAAAAAAAATGTTAACAGGTGCGCCTTTAGTGCCAAACTCATTTATAAATCTCGGGGGGGGGGGGGGGACTTCGAAACAATCATACGTCGAAAAAATAAGTAAACCCATTGTTCCACATTTTTTTCTATCACTATATTTATAGCTACGTTATATACGCTTCGCGCCACCATACTATACGCCGTACTCCTGCCTTCCTTCCCTCGAGCTCTCCTTACTCCCGATGCTCAATTATTATCTAGACGACGTGCTACAACTATACGTCAACACTCGAGGATGAGAGAAAATGATGGAAGACTTCATATGCAGTATGTGTGACACGACGCTTCATATACATTACAAATGCAGAAGTTGTTTTCACGAGCAGACGATCGAGCGTATAAATTATGTCACGAGCATCCATCAGCAACAGGAGTCGGCTGTACAAATAATAATCCTCTTATTATATTCCGCGACTGTATACGAACCTACACTCACGCACGCCTACGACCCGCATATACACGCGGGTACACTGTTTATTCCTTGGACCGACCCTGCAACCTACGGTGCGGGTGGATCTGAGAGCTCTCGTTGTTTTCCCCAATACACACGAGAATGCGTCACCTCTATGACTGTGTAGTGTGTACCTTCCCACGACTAAGTAAAGACCGCATCACTTTTCATTCGCCTCGCTTGCTCTCGACGAGTTCTCACTCCGAACGCGAACGCAAGCTCGGCTGCCGGTCTTTGGGCGCACTTTACCGATTCTCTCTCTCTTTTTTTTTTTTTTTTTTTTTTTTTCGATCAAATTCAAGTTGATCGGTTTTTTCGACTTTTAGCTGCGGGCGGAAGTCCGCGAAAGGGTTTTGACGACTACAAAACGATCGCGGGCAATCTCGGTCAAATCCCGTAACCAATCTTTTTCCGAATCTCGATGCTCAAAGCCCAAGTCTTAAGATATGCTCGCAATGTCGACAAAGAAGATGCAACGACGAGTGAAAGTCTCTGCTGCAAATCCTACATGTTCCTATATGTGAATCGGTAACCCCTACTAAATCGAGTGAGGGTCAAAGCGATCGGTACAACGCCGCGATTTTACAATTGCACCAAAAAGCTAATTAAACACGCAAAGTTGTTAAAATTCGAAGCAACGCGCGTTTTCAGGACAGCTGAATCGGTACAAGGGATGTGTATATCGCTTAGCCGATTTCATTATTCACACAAATTTTCAAAAGAAGTAAAAAACTTTACTGCATCAAAATCGTAAAAAAATCGTTGCAATCGAACCATACCGATCGTGCAGGTATATATTAATAATGTCGTTTCCCCTGATCTACAAAGCTGTAAGATGCGCTGCTACCACGTTATTTTCGCAAACCACCTTCCCCTTAGGGGTACGGGGATACCCACCATGTACGGTCGGTAGGGGGATGAAAAAAAAAAAAAATTAAATACCTGTTTGATGGCGTCCTCGTGAAACTGCGAGAGGAGAGTGGCATCGGTGGCGCCGTCGATGAGATCGTGCTCGGCCGAGTCCCCGTAGGTAGCCTGCATATTGTCGGGGTTGCCGTTGGCGCCGCCCATCGTGTTGCCATGGTTGCGGGTGGCCTGGCGCTGGGACGAGGACCTGCGGTTTGCGGAGGGCGGAGGGGCGCCGGAGGTCGGTGGCGCGGTGTTTGCCGAGCCATGGCCTGATGCCTGCTGTTGCTGCATCTCCTCGGTGTAGAGCAGGTGGCCGGATGACCTAGTGGACCCGGTCTGGCTGGGCCGCTGGTTGGGACCCGGTGGATGGTGCGGCTCCCCGGGACGGTGGTGCTGCGGCTGAGCGCCGGCTTCGCTGCCCACGAGCCACAGGCTTTCCTCCTCCGACGAGGGCATCGCTGCCGCGAGTCATCTGGAACGACGGGGTTTGGATTTTCAACGGTTAAACTGTCCTATAGTAGTACTTACGAGTAAATGACCCAATTACTGCGGACAATTACCACTATAAAGTTTTGTTAGATTCGTTGAAAATCAAATTTAGTTAAACAATTATTTACAACTCATGATGTAAAATATGGTTGTGGACTGAAGGTTATTATTAATACCCGAACGTGTTACAATGTCTGAGTATACGAATTATCCATTCAGTCTGTTTTTCATATTTTTCTTACTGACGAGTACGCAGTAATTGGGTCATTTACCCTTATACACATTACGTTGATCACAAACTAAGTATTAGGGATTATCAATGTATCGATCATTGGATATGCACGAGTGGAGTTTGTAATTTTTTCTATACTACTATTTATAATTTTACTCTTTGAATCAATGTAAAAAATCACTCCCGTAACAATCGACCGAGCCAGGTAGTAGTTTTTCATTCAGTCGTAATTGTATTCGATCTATACTTCAACTCGAAAAGTGTCTGGCTTTGCAAATCCACTGAATCATTTGCCACAACAGAGGTAATAAAAAAATTATTTGCTATATTATGGAGGGGTAGTCAATTATACAAGTCAGTATTTCTTGATTTTTATCACTGGGCGAATATCACGAATATTACCAATACCGGAACTTTAGGTACGTATGAAATGTAATCAAGAAAAAAAGAAGAAAAAAAAGTTTAAAATCCCCTCCGTGCACGCGAATCCGCAATGAAGTCCCCTTTCAAACAGCCACACGCGCGATCAAGGACCGGCTGAGACGGAAAAACCGAACCCCAGCTCCGCCGTCAGCACAAAACGCACGCGATCACAACGCGACGTGAGCCACCTACCCCGATTAAAAAAAAAAAAAAAAAAAAAAGCTCCTAACGAGGCCACGCGCAATTTCCCCGCATATATACGTATGTTGCAATGAAGCTGAATTCGCGCACGCCAATGGATCATTTATACGGCACACATTTCTCCTTGTGACCGTTTTATATTATTTTTTTTATCTGATGTACAATACAATACAATTAAAATAATCTTTTATTAACAATTTCTTTTTTTTTTAACCCGATTATATACGTATGAGAAACAAATGGCAAAGTCTGCAGCGTCAACACTGATATTAAACGACAAAACATGAAATTACAGTTTTTAATTAAGCAAAAAAAGGCCCCTTCCCGCAGACAACTTTTCGCACACATACGCGCGCTGTTTTCGTAACCTTAAACTGAAGCGTAATAATATCATCTTACCTTCGTGCGAAATCGTAAACGAATAAAACTACAAAATTGATGGGAAAAAAATGAAAAAAATGATATTTACAGCTGACAGATAGGTAACGGGTGGCAGATTGTCAGCCGGTATCTTGGCTCTACTGTTGGAATCCTCGATTATTTCCTCCATGGCGTTTTTTTTTTTTTTTTTCAAAAACAACACTTGTATCCACGCACCATATCGACTTGTCAAAACACTACACGGTACCGATCACAGCTGGTGGTACACTGATTGTCAAGACGACATTGTAAGTACAGCATCCCCAATTCACCATCAGCAGAGCCGGTTTTTTGCCCTCACCACCCCCGTTCGGCCCCTCACTGTGCACTGAGCTCTGCTGCACGCACATGTCGAATCTCATGAAATAAAACGCACGTCATGGAAAAATAAAAATAAAAAAAAAAAAAAAAAAAACACGCGTAAAAACACACGGCGTTAGGAGTTGAAGAGGCGTAGCCCCGTCCCAATAGTGACACGCTCAAACGCAAATAAGAGAGCGAGGGAGCTTTTTCCCCGTAAAAACGTAATATTATGCAGCCACTGGCTGACACACACGAATCATGCAAATAGAGCCTCTGTCCGGTACGTCTGCTGGCAGGTACACGCGCGTACCTCATACTCGTAAAGTTTTGGCAACGAATCACTCAAAACGTCGGTCACTTCGCGCAAAAACGCATAATGCACAGGAGCTTTCACGCAAATGAAAATAATATCGCGTGTACCTAAATATATACCCGATACTGGCACCTTTTAAAACGTCGTAAGAACATGTCCAACACATGCACCATCAGGTGTGAGTAAAACGTGAAAAAATAACATCGAGTCCAATATACAAGGCACAAAAAGCTCGATGCAATGTTGTACAGGATCGGGGATTCCCCGGATAAAGAATAATAAACGACAGCTGTATTTGCGCTCGGAATTGAATTAATTCTAATGAAAAAAATACGCCAGAAAGGGAGAGGAAGTGGAATGAAAAAGGCTTCTCTGGTACGAGCAGCTATACAATTTCACTTGCGTATTGTATACATACACACTTAGTTGTCCTTTGACATTTCTTTAAATTTAATAGCGAAGCGTCGTCAGATCACCAGAACGAAAATAAATGCGCGAGCTCCTGTTTCCACATCCACTCGTATATCAGTACAAAGTCAAAGTGTACAAACGAACGTCAACCCAAGAGTTCGTCCAAGCGAGAGGGGTTTTTCTCCCAAACGTGTCGCAATCGGGTGAGTACAGAATACATACCCGCAGTTTTCCAGTGGGACGCGCATTTTCCGCACAAAAGCGGGGGCTCCTCGGGGTGCAGGGCGACAGATAAACGGGACGCGACTGAAAATAAACCCGCTCCTGCATTGTTCGCGTCGCCCACGCGTCGTTTTGTCTTTCCCCTGTATGAAAGGCTCGCGTTCGTTTGTGCCGTTGAAAACGACACGCACAAGAAATACATGGCTGGTGTGTGTTTGATATTATGTATATTATGTATTATTGGCATTGTATCGAAAATCGAACGGGAATTTCTATAGATCTGAAATTTTAATTGTGCCGTTGGTTTTCACTCGTTCCTCGTTACGCGAAGCTCGAATTTTGAGGTCCTCTACATAATAAACGGAAATGTTCGTTGTCATTCTTGCACATATATATATATTATATATATACTATATACCTGTCCGATGCTACACCGCGTGTGATCACGTACTTACACGCCATCGCGGTGAATAATCGATCTCGCATAAATCGAACTTATAAATTTCGATGTATACACACACACACACACACACACACACACACACACACACACACACACACACACATATAGCCGTTGGGGCTCTGTGAGTTTAATCCGCGCTTTTATCGATAAAACTCGTCGGCGTTTCAATTTGTTTTCGCTTTAATTGGAATTTTCATCGCAGGAGCTGGAAACGGGCTCTCTGTCATCGTTGCTTGCTTGTTCTTTCTTTGTTTTTTATCCGTAGATTCGAAGTTTATTGGGGTTGTTGGTAACGATAGTGATAAATCAAGAAGCTTATATTTGCAAAGTCAATCGCGTAATCATTTTTAAAATAAAATACACTTTTGAAAACTTTTTTGTACTGAATATCGTGCATTTTGCTGTTTAATAAAGGTATACATGCATACGACACGATTACATGCCGACGTGCATTCAACTATTGTTGTCCGGAAGAGAAACTTAAGTATAATCTCTATGTCTCTTTTAAATCAACGATTTGAAGTGTAAACTATTGATAATTTTACTTACAGCTTTATAGTACAAAAAAAAATGTTAACAGGTGCGCCTTTAGTGCCAAACTCATTTATAAATCTCGGGGGGCCTTCCTTCCCTCGAGCTCTCCTTATCCCGCAGCTCTAACGATCGCTGGAGGAGGATGAGAGAAAATGATGGAAGACTTCATATGCAGTATGTGTGACACGACGCTTCATATACATTACAAATGCAGAAGTTGTTTTCACGAGCAGACGATCGAGCGTATAAATTATGTCACGAGCATCCATCAGCAACAGGAGTCGGCTGTACAAATAATAATCCTCTTATTATATTCCGCGACTGTATACGAACCTACACTCACGCACGCCTACGACCCGCATATACACGCGGGTACACTGTTTATTCCTTGGACCGACCCTGCAACCTACGGTGCGGGTGGATCTGAGAGCTCTCGTTGTTTTCCCCAATACACACGAGAATGCGTCACCTCTATGACTGTGTAGTGTGTACCTTCCCACGACTAAGTAAAGACCGCATCACTTTTCATTCGCCTCGCTTGCTCTCGACGAGTTCTCACTCCGAACGCGAACGCAAGCTCGGCTGCCGGTCTTTGGGCGCACTNAAAAAAAAAAAAAAAAAAAAAAAAAAAAAAAAAAAAAAAAAAAAAAAAAAAAGCTCCTAACGAGGCCACGCGCAATTTCCCCGCATATATACGTATGTTGCAATGAAGCTGAATTCGCGCACGCCAATGGATCATTTATACGGCACACATTTCTCCTTGTGACCGTGACGCGCGCGATCGTTTCGCCCGGCCGGCGGCGAGGTCGTCGCACATCCATACACACCTTCCTCCGCTCTTTCTTCTTTTCCCCCCTTTCATATTTTCCATACAACGTTTTAATACATCCCCACCCTGGCAGCGATGCATATTTTGTACGCGGATCACGTGATCCGTATGATCGCTATACCATCATGGTGGTCGTACGTGTATACGACATACATCGGGTGCGCCTCGAGTATTGCCGCGACCTTTCAATCATACCACGCGATTTCGTCCCGCAAAGTCGAATTATGCTCAATGTGTGTATGTATAACATGCTCGTTCAGCCGAAAGATTTTAATAACGCCGATTCGAGAGCTTGCAACCGTCTGTAGTATGTATACTATACGCCGTACTCCTGCCTTCCTTCCCTCGAGCTCTCCTTATCCCGCAGCTCTAACGATCGCTGGAGGAGGCACTCGCCCTGAACGTTGTTTCTCGTAGGGTGGTGGGGGGGGGGGTGCAGATTGTTACGTGATGGGCTTGTTTCGCGGGTTTCGAGGCTCGCTCTTCGTTACGTCGATTTCAACGAGATACGATGCTATAGTCGTACCGTTGGAGCCATTTTTTTTTTTTTTTTTATATTTTTGCACGAAGGTGTTTTTGAAACTTGGAATCTCTGCATGTACATATGGGGATGAATACCATATCGCTATAGT